CYTYMWYCCCAGTTCCCAGAGCATGAACCAGGCAAAGAAATTCAACCTAGCCCCATASCCAGGCCCCTCCTGTCCCCCAGCCTGGGATGAGACTTTCTCCTCACCAAGGAGAAAGACGTGGAATGATCACAGCAGCCAGAGCCCAGAGCGGAGCCAAGGAAAGCCCCAACCCTACCTGCTGTCAGGTAAAACCACCCCAGGCCYTGCAGAGCCCCATTAAGTGAATGAAAGGTTGCAGGGTGGGGCAGAGCAAAAACGAGGACCTAATTAAGCCAAGCTTTGTTCGGGAGCTTCAATGGCTCTGTGGCTGGGAGGCTGCTCATGAAAGCAGGGCCTGCAGCCCGGGGCCAGGGCCCGACAGGTAACACCAGCCGGACAGACCCGGCAGGAACCACACCACAGTGGCACTGAACGGCCTCACTGCTCACTGCTCCTGCCGTGGAAATGGGGAGAGACCCCAGCCCACCCCCACAGCAGCCAGGGCCCCACAGCCCCCAGCCCAGCCCCACAGCAGCCAGGGCCCCACAGCCCCCAGCCCAGCCCCACAGCAGCCAGGGCCCCACAGCCCCCAGCCCAGCCCCACAGCAGCCGTGTCCCCAGAGCTGCCATTGCCCCGGTGCCTTTCACATGGAACACGCAGGGCCCTGTGGCCACCTCCCAAACAGCATCTCACCACAACGTGAGCAGCACAGAGTTCTCTGAAAAATCAACCGAAACAACTGCTCTTTTTTCCTTCCCTTCATGCCCAGAACACAAACCAACAGCAGGACCATGGCCCCCATCCCCTTGCCCCAGCAGCAGCCCCCGGCGCGGACCACGCGGGCGGCAAGGCACAAAGAGCAGCTGCCAACCTGAGAAATCTCCGGGCGTGACGTTGGGCGAGTTTGTAGCCTCTGTTTCAGTGTAAGACAACGTGGAATCTGATAGATCTGGGGGRAAAAAAACAACAAAAAAAACCACTTTTAGTCCTGCTGCAATTGCCAGTGCTACGTGAGCAGCCGCGGCTCCTCAGCTTCCCACYGCCTCCCCGAGAGAGAAACTCTCTGCAGAGCCAGAAAGCAGCGATTAACTTTGTAGCTCCACCACGCAAATGCAAAGTTTGAATTGCCTCGACCACAAAAATAACTCCAGTTAAGTTGATCAAACAAGTAGGAACTTGGTGCTTACTGGATAAAGTTACATTAAGCCTCTAAACAAGTCAGAGTTACTATACTTAATTATCACCATTAAAATTCTTGAAGCTGTTTATTCTTGCTTCCTTCCTTCCTTCCTCTTTGCTGAAGCGAAGAAAACTTTGTTTTAACAAGTTAAGAGTCTTTGTTATTCTCTCTTGCTTACACCCCTCTAATTAAGTGCTCAACTGTTTGCTCACAGATTAACTATTATTTTTCCAATCAAACAAGCCAGTGAAGCAAATTTCAATCCCTGGCTGTTGTTTTAATAAAGTCACGTGTTGCTCACTATCATCTCTCCCTGCAGCACAAGCACTTTCTGAAAGGAATTAACTTGGAAAGGGGAATGCAGGGAGGGACAAGTCTTTTTTTTTTTTTTTTTTGCCTCCACACCTAACAAGAAGAAAAAAAATATATTTAAAAAAAAATAGCCACAACCAGGCAATTTGGCTTTGCAGGCCGCTCTGGTCAGAGCCCTGTGGCGATGACGGTGCCGGGCACAGGGTGCACACATGGCTGAGTCTGAGCCGATGGCAGCTCCCAGGCAGGACTCACCTTTGGCACGGGCAGCTCCTGCCTTGCCCTGGGGCTGGGTGGGACAGGCAGGCGCTGCTGCTGTCCCCTCCTATCGCTGCCAAACCCTGTCTGCCTCCTCCCTGTCCCTGCCCCGTGGCAGCAAAAGTGGCTCCCCTTGGCCATTAACCCCGGTAAATCACAGGATAAAGGGGGAAAGCCCACAGCTGCACAGATTTCAGCAAACAATCCAAGAGGGACATGGGATTGCTCCTTTCCATCCCTTGTCTTTRCTTCCCATTTAATGGAGCAAGAAAGAGGGCTGAGAAAGGCTGGTSAGGATGCAGCGATGCCAGCTCAAGGCATCTCCAGGCCAATGTGCAGCCCACAGGACCGGGATCCAGGGCTGCCAGGCTCTCCAGCACCCTGCTCTCCATGCCCAGCCTACCCATCCCAGAGGCTTTCACCAGCTTTGCTCGGAAAACCTTTTATAATTGCCCAGGAAAAGCAACACCTCATTCAGAAATGACACAGCGCTGAGTTTCAAAGACTTTCCATCCCATTGTAAYGAGCAGAAGAAGGGCAATAATAGCTGGTTCCTGCACGGAGCAGCACAGCCAGGCCTTTATGGAAATGGCACCCAGGAGCTCTCGCTCCCCGCAGCTCCGTCATCCCGCAGATTACACACGCAGACAAAACATGACGTCTGGTAACCTTTCATTACGCCTTCATTAAAAATAGAGCTTCATATTATTTTGGAAAATATGCATGTGTCCACACGGTAATTTGGTAGGATAAACTGGCATCCATTTACTTCTTAAAACCCGTCAGCTGATGCTTGCTCAGAAATAATGAGCAGCCATAAAACCCCGACTTGTTGGCTTTTGCCTGACGTGCCAGGCAGGGCTGTCTCAGAACCAGAACCAGGGCTGCACCATGAAAGAGTTCCCGGGAGATCAAAAGAGACAAAACACGTACCCAGTGGCTTTTGCTCATCATTAGGAGACAGCCGAGAGTAGGGAGGTGGTGGAGACTCTGGAAAAACAAAACTTTAGGTTAGTGTTGTGCTGGGTTTATCAGCAAACTTGCTTTCTCTTTCAAGTAGGAACTCTTCCAAGGTTATAAACACTCAATGGAAAACAAAACACTTGGAACCAACTGGGGACCAAGGTCTCCCAATTTTTTTGAAGAATGGTGGTTCCACCTGGAATTTTCAAAGTGGGCTTTGGTACTGAAAATGCTGCACCCCTCTGCCCCAACACCCACAGCCTGAGCCATGATGTTGCTCCCAAAGAACCACATTTCCATCATCTGCGTTGAGAGAGACAACYACAACTCCACTTAGGGCTTAACAAGTGCTCCCCAAACACTTTACAAGTACTGAAAAAGGGTGATGAAGAACTCCTCTTGGCACACAAGGCAGACACCAGAGCCAGCCTGGCTTCARCCACCAAGACACCCAGGTAACTTTGGTCCATCCCAACAAAGGCCTCAGCACAGAAGCAGCTCAGGAGCAGAGGCCGCCCTGATCCCACCCACCCCGACTCCATCCCACAGAGCTCCCCAGCTCAGCTTTAAGCAGCAGGACTGAGAAGTCATGTGCTCCCAGTTCAGCAAGTCCTCAGAGGTGCTGTGCTGAATCAGATCATTCAAAGAGCTCTTGCTGTCCTTGGAAGGGTCAAAACCATGCAGAAGGCTGATGAAGGTCCTTCATCATCTCCTTGCCCMGATTAGAGGCATTTCTTTTCCCCTTCCAAAACCTGTCAGTGATGTGTTTTTTCAATTATAACTTGCCTAAATTGGGTGTGCAGCCAGCTGGGCTGCATCAAGGCACAAGCACTGAGCAGGCACCAGCTTCAGTGAGAATTGTATTGCGAGGTCAGTCAGTGGCACCACAACCGACCCCAGACTATGGAAACACGGGTGTACTCCTCAGCTCCCACCCGGCCCTGACAGCGCTCAGGCTTGGCCGAGATCATCAAAAAGAACCTCAGCATCCCCGGTGGGATGGCTCTGAGAGCATCTACTGCTTCTCAGAAAAGGCTCACCACTGGCCCTAACGGAGCAAGAATGCTCTTATCACACGGTGCTTACAAATCTCAAATTAAAAAAATAAAAGCACCGATGTCCCCAGGTGGATGTAACAGCAAGACCTGGCTGTGCTGGCCCCACACGAGCCAGACCTGCTGTCACCAGGGTCTCGCTGGAAGCCCCCCAGCACTTTCACACCCCTCAACTACATCACCCTGCAGTAAACTGGGTGGGAAACACCAACAGGACAATCTCTGCAAGGAGCCACTTGTGGAAAAGGGCATCAAGGCCTTTTCTTGGCTCCAGTTAGCAGCGCCCAGTCGGCGCGGGTGGGGTCCTGGCACAGTCACCCATTATCAAAGCGATAAGGAGCCACTTGATAACAGCTCTGCTTTCTACTACTCCCAGCACAGGGCTGGCAGCCGCTCACCCCTGGGAAAGCGACCATCGCTGCAGGAAAGAGACTGRGAAATTTTTCCCGTTTCTAAAATAAATGCCCCGTTCCTGAAAACGCAGCTCAGCTCCAATTGGAAAAAAAAAGCTGCCTCCAGCCTCTAGCGACCTTCGGGAGAAGCACGCTCAAAAGAAAAGTTTCTTTGAAAGAAGGGATGCAAAGCGAGGCTGAAGCCCAGACTGCAAAAGTAATAATAAAAAATCCAAGGTCTTGCCAAAAAAAGGGACAGTATTGAATCATGGAATGGTTTAGGTTGGAAGGGACCTTAAAGATCMTCTGGTTCCAGCCCCTGCCATGGGCAGKGACACCTTCCACTATCCCAGGCTGCTCCAAGCCCTGTCCAGCCTGGCCTTGGACACTGCCAGAGATCCAGGAGCAGCCACAGCTTCTCTGGGCACCCTGTGCCAGGGCCWCCCCACCCTCACAGAGAAGAATTTCTCCCCAATATTCCATTTAACCCTGCCCTCTGGCAGTGGGAATCCAGCTGTCCAGTTTCATTACAGTTTTTGCACAGCCTGTTAAGCATTATTTCRATTTCTAAACCTCAAACTCGAACATGTCTCTGCTCCATGTAGCAATTCCCTGCTGACACGGACACACGATCGAGTATTGCTGAAAAAAAAMCAAAAAACGCTCAAGAAAACCAAACCCATGCCTTGAAAACGCTCACGTCTGCCAACGCTAAAAAAAGAAAAAGCCCCAAGAAATGTAGGAGCCCTAGGTGCTCCCGCGGGTTCGGGGATCCCCGCGGCAGGGACATCCCCGCAGCCCCCCCGAAGCGCCTGCGGCTTTAAGCCGGCGGCGGTGACCGCCCGCCTCCGATACGAGCGAGCCAGGCTGGCGCCAGCGGGATGGAGCCGCCGATTATCGCCCCTTCGGCTCCCAGAGAGCGGGGAAACTCCGCGGGAAGGAGAAAAAAAAATAATAAAGGGCTTTTTACGCACAACTGGAACCGCTGGTTTTAAGAGAGGGGGAATGCCCGGCGGGGACCCCGAGCCAAGCACGTTTCCCCGGGCATAACCGCAACACCGCGGGGCCSGGGCGGCGCTGCCCACGAGGGTTCGCATAAACCCAGGAAGGGATCAGAACCCCCGAACCCCCACATCGGTGGGTGTTGGTGGGGAAAGAACCCAAMTCGCGCTGCTCACCTGGCCCACAGAGGCGGCTGAAGTGGTAGGGATTGCAGCAGACCGTGGGTCCGTCGGCTACGCCGAAGCTCTGGCACTCGCAGAGGGGCTTCAGCTCGGCRGGGTGCTGCAGGTCGGGCCAGCGGAACAGCTTACCCAGGAGGAGGTGCGGGGGTGCCGCCAGGCCCCCCAGGCGCACCTCGGTGCGGGCCACCAGGACGCAGCCGCCGGGCATCCCCCCGCGGGACTCCACCGCCTCCAGCAGGCTGTCCAGCGAGCGCTCCTTCAGCCGCTTCAGCAGCGAGTAGGTGACGGCCTTCAGCTCCTGCTCCAGCAGCAGGAGCCGCGCCCGCGCCTCCCGGCCCCGCCGCTCCGGG